ATGGTCAAGTTTAATCGAAAACGTAGATTGGCTATTTGCCTAGGCATTTGACTAAATGACGAGGCAATTACATAAAAGCCTAGGCATTTGCGTACATGCCGAGGGCACGTTAGGCAAAAAGGCAAATGATTTTCCTTTTCAGGCAAATAGTCAAAATCTGAGAAAAAGTCATTTTGCAATAATCCAAAAAAACCACAGCCAAAGAAAAAAAGAAAAAAAGAAAGTCTGTACCTTAAAAAGAATGAGGCAGTAGCGTTACTTGTTCGAGCACGCGATGGGTTGGTGGCACTTGCTGGAATAATTTCTCTGATTTTTGAAGCAAGAACATCGTTTGGTCGCACATTGATTTTTACTGGCTTGGCAATTACACTTGACAAAGCCTTGCCCTTCAAATAACGAAACGCCAGAAACTGCTTCGCGGACCGACACTAGCTTATCCCTCGGAACCTGAGATATTTCAAATTGTATTGCCCCTACTTGTTTTAATTCTTCCCGCGAACATCAATTTTTGATGACACCTGCGGGTGTTCCAATTTGGTAAACATTATTGCGGACGTCAAGAACAATTCCTTCGATGTTTTTTGGGTCCAACGGACCACGATCAAATTTTGAAATGTTCAAAATAATTGTATCTTCCACTTTTATAGGTGTGAATAATTTCGAACTTCTTTCTATCATTTTTTGAGCTGCAACTTTTTGTCGTAGATGGGCTTCCGCTCTTGTTGTGCGTATTTCTGCCTCGCCATGACAATACTTACAAACACATGGTTGGTCGCCGTCTTCATTACCGCACTCTTGATGACATGAATTATCGCAAGAGCTGCATTTTTTTAAGCTACCTGGCTTTTGACAAGAGGAGCATTGAGGTTGATCACCACACACGTTCTGAGTAGGCTCGGAGCTCGACGTTGCAGTTTCAGCTACTTTGTGAGCCAGGCTGGAGCTTGGTGCTTCAAGACGAAATATTTTCTGAGCAGGCTCTGAGCTCGACGTTGCAGTTTCAGCTACTTTGTGAGCCGGTTTGGAGCTTGGTGCTTCAAGACGACATATTTTCTGAGCAGGCTCTGAGCTCGACGTTGCAGTTTCAGCTACTTTGTGAGCCGGGCTGGAGTTCACTATTTACCTAATCAGCCTTCGGCATTTGGTCAAATCTTCAGGCATTTGAGCAAACGCCTAGGCATTTGCGCAAATGCCTAGGCAATCGACGAATTTCAATGATTTTTACCATTTCTTTTCTATTTGCCTAGGCATTTGTCTAAATGCCGGATTTGACCTTTAGCCTGCGACATCTACACAGTCAAAACGCCTGCACCTCAGTACGTATGCAACACGGACATCCATGAAGCCCAAATAGTTGCATTCAGGAGTTATTATGAAATGTATAGCGTTCGTCGCACACGAGTACACTAACTAAAGGCTTTTGCTTGTTTCTCTGACGCCGTAACTTTAGTTCAGCGTTGCCTCTCGTGCCAATGTAGTAAGCTACCAATGATTTTCATGGTGGCATTGTCAATTTTCAGAACCATGCTTTGATTGGCTGAAGCCTCAACGATTTATGAAAATTTACTAAGATCTTTCTATACGAATGACAATTCATGTTACCCCTAACTCCTGAATATCCTAACTTTAAGTTCAAAAACTAATATTGTCATATAATCAAACTAAATCTTTCGTTTGTTTACTTACTAAAATTAATTAATTTTTTTTTTTAACTCCAAAGGTTAACGTTTATAAACTTAAGTTACCGGTTACTTTGATCCGCACGAGTTGTTCATCTTTATAGGGAAATTTCAGGCATATAATAACAATATCTTGGCGAATTTATAAGTGGCGTTATCGATTATCGAGTGACCTGACCTTACGCCGGACGAGAATATAATCAAATTTCACTAATTTTGTGATAATTTCAATAACATTATCTCATTTGTAAAAATAGGTCAGTATTATGCCTCAACACCCCAATTCGTGAAAAATCTCTTATTCTTTGTCGTTAACATACCGTACTGACAAACTAAGGGCCTCCATGGCGTGTATTTTGAGACGTAGCCTGTTCACTAGGCATTCATTTTTTTCGAAAAATTCCCATTAGAATTTTTCCATGTCACCACCGCGTGAAAATGCTTTCACCATAATCACGATCTTCGATATTGCCACATCAGCAGCTTCGCTAGAGCAAATAAAAATAGAGAACGCATCACTTTGTTAGCTGAGTTTCAGAAAAAGCGTGCAACACAGATTTTGATTAAAGGCATGCGTAAAATGGAAATGAAAGGTGACAAGTTCACTCTTGATGCAAGAGGGTGAACATCAGACAGAGGTTTTTTTTTTCCATGAAACGTGCGTACCCGCGTCTACTGAATTTTATCCTCCAAAACTCAGTAGTGTGTTCTGCCTCCGCAGTACTTTTTGAGTTTGGTTGATAAACGCTTTTGTCCAGCCACTATGTATTGAAAAAACTGTAGCTGTGTTCCAGGTAAGTTTTATAAAAGAGTGTAATTTTATTCATTAGTGATTTCAATCGTGAAGGGACCCGTAAATCCTTTTTTATCCGTCTCTACCGTAGACTTTAAGATAAATGCGCCCATTCTTTGAGGTGTGTATTTAATTTGATTTTGATCGGAAAATGCGCAAACTGTCACTGATATGATCTTGCCAATCTTTCCGTACGTCCAAAATCCTTCTCAAGTAGCAATGTTTCACGGTGATCATCATGTTTCGAATCCCGGTGGTGGTGTCTGATTTTCACGGAATTGACGAGTAGATCTGCTGAAACAGATTCTCCTCGGCCCTAATCCCTGAAAATTGGAAAAGCCTGGATCATGGAGATCTCACGAGGTCTACGGACACTAAACATTGTCTAAAGTTGGCTGAAGGTGCTAGACACAAAGCCATTGAATCAGCAAAAAAAAGAAAAAAAGAAGAAAAAAAACATCATGTTTAAAAACTCTCTGCTTTGGGATGAGGTAAGAGGACGGGAAAAATTGTCCTTGAGTCTTTCCATTCCATTTTTAGAGGTTCCTCTGAGTGAAAAGGTCCTATGCCATAGATTAAGCATCTTCCTCCCTATTTAACTCGCACCTCCTTCTATCTCTCTGTTCTCTCTGTACGTCACTCTTACATTATCTTCGTATTTGTTCCTCTTATTCCTCTTCGCCATCGGCTGTTACGGAACTTCATTATTATAAAGCTTCACCTTTTATAAAAAAAAAAAAAAAATAAGCAAAGTGGATAAATAATGAAAATAAGGATTGGGGCCTATGTTTTCCAACACTTATCTTACCAGCAAAGAGCTAAATTTTTCTTCGAGGGATGGATAAGAACAAAGTTTTTTCAGATGATCATCTCATTTAAAACTACATTAAGTCTCCTGATGGATGAATCCCTGAATCAAACGCAATAAATCTCATTGTATTTCTCTCCGCATCAGTTCAATCGCACTTTTTCGAGCAGTTGGGCGGCTTCGCAATCATTCAACATATAATCAAAACTTTCAAAATAAAATTTAGAGCTTGTCAATAATTAATATTTACGCTCATTTTTTTTATAGCGCGTGAGTCCAATCCAAATAAATGTACGCGCTTTTAGACTGCGGCAGAAGATCCGCCATCTTAATTCTCGCATTTACTTTCCATGTAAAAGTGACGTCAGTCAATCTTCTGTCGCAGTCTAGAAGTGTGTGTTATTTGTCGTGAACTGTACTGCTAGTAACGCCAGGAAACAGGGTTAAAATCATAGGAAAACTGGAATGAGACACGACTCCCATTCGTTTACATGGAACAGCAAGAAACTAAAAAATACCATCTCCTCCTTGCGACCGTATAAGTTCTGAAAATAGCGATGTTCGTTAATGATTCTCATCTCACCCGCCATGTTTCTACCATTGCGGTTAATGAATAAGGTACTAGATTACACGTGGCAAAAACAGATAGAATACGTGGTCTGTCATGATTGCTTGAAACTGCACGTTTAAGCGTTGCCTACGAGAATGGAGAGGCCGTAACTACGATTCTGTGACGTCACACTAGTAGATGAAACTCGGTCGCGGTTTAACACGCGTTCTTATGGGAGAACGCTTGCCGCGCGATGATTTCTCGCCGATATCTCTTTCAGGGTTGATCTGATGCAAAATTTCATAAGAACCGTTTAGAAAGAGGATGAAATTTCACTTTAGAAAACTAACTAGTTCATTTGTGACATTGTCTAAATATCGAGGAAATGAATGCGTAATACCGAAAATCGTTACTCCACTCAGATTCAAACGGGCCGCTCGCGCACCTTCGGCCGATCGAGAGCGACTCTGATTGGTCCACGCAGCGACTGCCTCACTCATCGATGCACTGATGACCTGGAGATGCTTGTTGTTTTCGGTAAATATCTACTAGCTTGACGTCACAGAACTGACTAGTTACGGCCTCTCCATTCTCGTAGGCAACGGTTTAAGTATCGGTTCCATTTTAAACATCTGACTTCGTTAAACCTGGTTTTCACATTCAGGACAATATTATAATTATGATTGTGTTTCTTTGCATAAGGAAGATTTAAAAAAAAGAGCTGGATGCCTGCAATGCCTTTAAATTCAGAATCAAGCGGATTTGCAACATTGTTTCAACCGCTGTTGAAAAATTGTCGTCAAATGTTAATTACCAAAGGAATTTTACGAGAGTGTTAAAAATCGAACAGTGCGAACTGTACAATCGCATTTTTTTCTTGCTGAATAAATGGAAAAAAAGAAAGAAAAATAGAATTTGCTAACGTATTCAAAAACTTGTATTTTGTATTTAACAGGCGATATTAGAGTAACCTATTAATGCTGAATATTTGTAATATTGTAAGCGTCCGTGGTTGTACAGCACCTGTAACTAAAAATCTATGATTTTTCTGGAGATCCTTAAAAATAAGAGCAATTATTTTTTGAGTATGCAATGCTTCCAGAATTTTTGAGAACTGTGCAAATATAATACACGTGATTATTTAAACTTTTCCCATGAAATTTTAGATACATCGGAATGCGAGGTCTATTACTGCTATGGGCTTGCAACGTCGCCCTTGCTTCTACCGGATCGTCTATTGGAGATCTGACAGAACAGGCGCCGACTGCTGCCACCGAGCAAATTATTTTACCAAGGATGCTGTTTCGGAAACGTCAGGGATCAAATTCTAGGTCACCATCACCCGCGAAAAAACGTGCAAATCGGTCCGGACTCAAAAAATCCACCTCGGTTCCCGTTTCACTAAAGGATTTTCAGAACTTACCTGACAGTGCATTTCCACCAGACAAACTGACAATGGCTTTGGCTGAAAATCCCCCGTCTCCTATCGAACCCAAACTTTCGGAAAAACGCAAGCTCCTAAGGAGACCCACTGAAAAGTAAAAAACAACTTATTTAACCGCCTTTAATAAACGATTTATGGATATGACACAAAAAAACAAAACAAAATTAGTAGAGAACAAGGCTGAAATTACTCAAACGAACTTGGGTTTGTCTCTCGGGGTTGTTTGTGTAATTCTAGCTCTGTTCTGACTAGTTTTGTTTTAATTTTGTGTCATATATGTCGTGCTACCATAGTTTCAAAATTTTATTCACTTATATGAATAGAAGAAACAACTTAGTTGGCCCGAAACATTGACAAAAAAACAACTTAAATGGGGACCAAGGCCGCGCTGATGTGGATGGACTTAGTAGAATTGATCACCTGTTCTTCCTTTCGGGCCTAGATGGAGCTGGAACACCTGAGTAATCTCTGTTCCGAAGTGCTTTGTTTCAAGTTGCATTTGCTCGTTTATTTTGGTTGCACTATCAGTCTCACAATAAAAACGGTGAGGCTCATAGTGTCCGTCGTTCTAATTTTCTTTGTTTTTGTCGGTTGAAAATGCGGGTGCGATCCCTGCGAAACGTCCCTGGCTTTTTATTTTATTTTATGTATTTTTTTGTTATTTGTGGCTTTAGTCCTGATTTAAGTTCTTTTTTTGTCTTCCATGAATATTTATATTGCTAGAACCAAGTTAAATGGTAAAATTATTGGTCATCATTCCTACAATTTTTGGATTTATATGGGTTAACTCTACATTCTGACAAGATTATAGTTATTTGTCTCAACGCATTAAAGAAAATATTATCGCCCAAATAATTAGAGACTATTTTTTTACATATATTTCAGTATAATCAGCATTATTCAATAGAAGTAGCATTCAAAAGTAATCTTAGGTCAGAATGCTTAAATTCGCACCTTGTCCAGTGGTCCATTGATTACCACTTTCTAAGGCATCCAGCACTTTTACCTTCAATTTGAAGATCAGTCCGAAAGTGATCCTAATTGTTGAAAAAGTGGCAATCATATCTTCAGAGGTAACCAACTCGTTGCCTCCCAGATTGAAGAACGGAACTCTAATCCAATGCTACGGAATCGATCGAAATGATCAATTTTAAACGAGGGAATATGACCGTGCAATTCCTGTAAACATTTTGTAGATCAGAAGAGGGTCATTTTGTAGGGTGTGATTAAAAGAAAAAACAATGCAATTTTCATAGTTAGAAATGTCCGAAATTTTTTTGCTTTCCTCGCTTTATACAATTGGAGAGTGAAAATTTTGCAACCTGAAAATGAAGTTATATTATTTTGCCTTGGAAACGGCGAACTGTACGTTGCATTTCCAAAGAAGTCTTGAAGCCTCTAGCCTGTATCACATAAGCTATAGCCTCCATCTTCCTCCTGCAAACTCTAATTATTGTAAAATTTTCTAATCAACAGGGCGCAACCTGATATGTCAGATTCACCCAAAAGTGGCTTCAGCACTTATCGGCACATGGATGAAGACTACTGGTCGAACCCTACAGATATGAAAGCGGTGCGTTCAAAACTGGAAAAGTGGGTGCCCAGTACGAAACCAAGAAGAAGATATACAGATCGTCACAGTGACAGCGAGACACCTTCTCCACCTAAACCACCCTATTCAAGAGGCTAGCATTTTTATTGTGCTTTTTTCTTTTAAATTGCGTGACAATTTCACCAATTTCATCCTGAGATAACTAAAACCTGAAGCTGTACGTTATTCGATGCGTAAACAGAACTTTTAACAAAATGAATATTCGTGTTACACATAGCGTCTGAAGCATGTTGATTAATTGATCTTTGGAGCATATATATATTATCTCAAATATTTATATGTTTTACCTATTTCAATCACAAAGTATTAATAAAACTATTTATAAGCCCTGGTTAAATTAGAAATAAAATACATAAAGACTAACATTACACGTCTTATACTTAGTGTCCTCTAAATTTGGTTTAGTGGGCATTATCTTACATTGTAGGTCTTTCAATTATTTTCCGCGTTTATTTTTCTTCGGTCACTGATTGAAAAGTTCTCAGTGCAAGATGAGGATAGACTGATTATTCCTGAACAATAGAAGCTTATTCCAGATATAAATGCACTCTTTAAACAACAGTCCAGTATAATTTAAGTTCTTTGAATTCGGGGCTTTAAGAGTTTAAACACTTCCCTTGACACGTGAACAGCGAGGTAAAAGTTGAAGCCTGATACGAGGCTCCAAATCCAGATCCACGCGAACTCTAAGTCCGTTGGGTCCATCAAGCGTAAGAAGTCTCAAATGAAATTCAACCAACGTGAAATTCATACAATTCGTTGCTTAAATACTTGAAACTAGTATTTACTATCAGTAAAAGTCAAAGATCCATCTCAAGAACACAACACAGCTCAAAGATATTACTTCCTGCGTGACAATATGAATTTCAAAAGGAGACAACAGTTATGATCTACTGAAACACAACAGCACTGATTTAATGGACGACACCGCTTGATCTCAGTTTTAAATGTTGGAACATTTTTTTCTCGCGCACTAAGATGATAAAAAAAAAAACAAAAAAAACAATAGGATTATCAGCACTGATAAGATTTGTGAGCTTCTATTAGCGAGCCCCTCCGTAGAAAACAGTCTTTTGTATTATCAGATCGGCCACTTATCTACTTTAATCAATGATTTTTATATTTTTATTTTAGAGTAAATTACATGCTTTTGCAAACATGATGTAATCTACGAGGGAAAATCACGTGTCAAAATTTTAAAAATTGTTTTTTGTCATATTTGGATGAAAATGGGTGTAAATTTTTGATGAAAAAGGGGTGACCTCGATTATTTCGTAAAATATGAAAACATTTTTGAAACAAAATATGTAGAATGTATAGCTTCTCAAAGCATTTTATGAGAATTCAGATCCTACCATAAATGAATTGCATTTTATATTAATCCTATTTTTGCCAAGTTGCTCTGCACGCGTAGTTTATCTTCACCACACAGAAAATTTAGTCATATCGTCGCCCGACTGACTTTTAAAATGGCGTAACTATACCTTGAAAAGAGCCTGGAAAAGCACTGAATTAAAAGGAAGACAGGGTTCCTTCCAGAGTAAAGTTACGTCCTTATGTCAGCCAAGTGGCGATATACTAACCATTTCCAAACATTTCCTGGGGAATTTTTTAGTAACGTTTCAGGCTTCGCTTTAATTTTTAGACCTGATCTAGCTGCGTGGGTGAGAATATAATCTTTTACTAATTCTTTGATAATATAAATGGTTCATTGGTAAAAATAGGTCGGTATTATGCTTTAACAAAAGATTCTGTCCTGATTTTAATTCCGTTTGCTCAACGAATAAAAAGTCCAAAATTCTGTGAAGGGTTTTCTTTTTCTCTCCCTCATCTAGAACAACTTCCTTGATACATGCATGTTTTTATCCTTTAAATGGACTTATTAATTGGGCTCATTTTTACCGGAAAAATTGAATAATTTTGAGGATAGAACTATAATTAAGGGGTGCTTATTAAACGCGCATTTTGGTACATCGATAGCGTACGAGTATGACTTATTACATAAATTCCTGCATAACTTCAAAAAACCACCCTTGTAGATATGCAGTACAAGAGTGCACCACTGATAACGTACATTTTACGGTGCGCTTCTTTGGCCATCAGAGTGAAAGTGTTTCGGGTTTGCTTCCCTCTGACAAAGCTATCACGAATGCCTCATCGATGGCCTATCGAAGGGTCTCGATCGATAATTGGTCGTATTTCTGTCAAACGGAACTATGTGCATTAAGACATGAACCCTGAAACCCATAAGAATACATGCATAACACGGCTCACGTCATAATGCACTTATTACTGTTTGACAAAAATACGTCCAATTGTCGGATGACGGAGCTAAATTGATCGATACCATTCCACACACCATCGATGGAAGGTTCAATAATCGAACTACTCAATCCGGTGAACGGGTTGTGGTGATTATCTAATGAGACAAATTACACGTTCTTCAGCTAATTACCCGCAACGGGAAGCACACATTGTTGTGGTATGCTGGTTCAATTCTTCGGTGTCTATCCAGTTATGTCCGTTTAGAAACGTGTTTCACTGTGAACTGCATTCCATCAACAAATTTGTGTGGTATTTTTGATCTATTTCTTTTGTCCTCCATGCTAAAATAGTTCCGATGATAATTTGTAAGTGCTTTCAAGTGTAAAGTGAATGCTGGAGTTTCTTGTTAAAGGAGTGGAGTCTGGCAAGCTGTAAGATATTCAACGGTCGAATTAATTTTCGCGTCTGATGTGACAAATTGCACTGCTTCAAAGGACTCCATTGATCTGTGTATGCAACATGAGAGTTTTAAATATTTACTTGTACGTTTAATGTAAAAAAAAAAAAAAAAAAAAAAAGTTTTTTGTGGCAATCTGGTGTTGGCACACCCAGTGATGTGATTGAAATGAGGATATATATCTGCCGATACTACAGAAAGTGACATCGTCTCGAAATTTGATCTTGGTGAATTATTGACGGCGGCATATTTTGGATTTAAAGCAGTTCCAACGTCACCCCCAGAATGAAAATTGTAAGTTCACTTTTTACTCTATTTTTTTCACAATTTAGTAAATTTTGGAAGCGAGAACAGTCTTGCTTTTGCGGCAATAATGGCCATTAAGTACTTCTTTGTTGGGAAAAACGAAAAAAAAAAGTACAAATTAAAGAGGAAGGAAAGATAAAAAGACATAGGACACGTGAATGGGGGTCTGGGTCAGCTGGGCGAGGGCTTTTTTTTAGGAAAAGGGCTGGTGTTTCACACATTACAGGTGATATCAAAATGAGGCCGCTCATACTGGTAAGCATATAATAATAAATATTTAACAAGAATGACAATCTCAACCCTGGAAAACGCAAAAATCCAGAGATGAAGACTTACGTGTTTTTAAGGGAATATTGTTTACATATATGCACTTTTAGAATAGAAATCAGAAATTCGCGGAAACAATACCTGCAGGCTGATTGTTGGAATTGATGGACAAAGCGATAGATAAAGAAGACGTCTAGGTAGTATGGAGCTATCCTATTGGTTGAGATGGGTGGATCTTACAGACTAAGTGGGTAAATGAAGGTTTTAACGAAAGGGTTTCTTGCGGGTTGCTGTTAGTTCGTCTATTATACCTACCATCTTTGTCCATTGCAACCACCCGCTTCCACCAATAGGATTCCTCCATATCCATTTTGTCCTCTTGGTCTACAGTTTTGTTTACCAATTTCCACAATCAGTCCACTTTGGAGACAGCTTACATGACATTTCTGCCTGGAAATCGGGATTTACGGGTAAATCACTCTCAATATTTATTCACCACTTGTGTTTCTTAATGAAATCATGCTCGTCTCCCACAGGATTTTAAACCTCTGCTCTTAATTCTCACGACGTGCCATGCGATGACAATTAGCCTGCATGGACAAGACACGACGACACAAGTTCGTTCCGTTGATGCACCACCGAAACACCTAGATGGCGTCCTGCTTGACAGAAACCTGATTTTGAACCAGCCGACGCAGGCGCTGCTTTGGTCAGCCCTGGCTACCGTGGTTCCCCTTTTTGGACGTATTGTTCGCGTTGTGCCGTATGTCGCCACTGGTGTCAACACCATCACTGGAACAATCAACAGTGGCATCAGTGCAGGTGAGTGTGGGAATTAGATAGAGCAGCCCTCCGTAAGACTGGAAGGATTGAGTAAAATTTCTCTCCAAAAATGGCATGATATACGAAAAAGAAGCTTTTTAAAAAAGCAAATGTATAGTTATATACAGGCAGTGTTGCACGGGTGAAACGAAAAATATGAAATATTGAAAATTTCCGTGGAATATTTCATGAAATTTCACCAAGTTGTGAAAAATATGAAACATTTACAGGGGCTGGGTATGCATTATGCCTTAAAAAACACTATAACCACCGGTCGCCTTTAATTAAATTTTTAATTTAATTTCGAAATATATTTTTCATATTTTTAGGAAATTTCAAGATTTATTTTTCATGAAAAATTGCAACCCTGTAAACGGGTATTATTAGTGCAATTCCCTGAAATTTAAATGAAGCTTCCTCCATATCTTGCTGAACTTTGGATACGTAAATGTAACAGCATCTGAGTGTTGGAAGGTATCATCTCTAAATGAAGGCGCTTTTTAATCGTCTGATTATAAGTAATCTAATGATTCTAATGCTTACGTATTGGCTGCTGCTTCACATGTCATGAGAGTACTTATTTGTTGTAATGTCTTGTTTCTGAAAAAGTAAACGTTACCACCCGATAACGGTTATCAATACTACTATGACTCTAAATGTACGGGGTCTTGAGCTCCGTATTGTGAAAGTCCATCAGTCTGACACCTCTAATTTCTGTCGTAGGTGCTTGCAGAAATGTTTTCAAAGATGAAACTTTTTATTTTCTTTTCAAACGTTTTAATACATGCATGATTTATGAATTTGCTCTATCAGAGCAATTGAAAAATAACACATCGATACAGAAATGCGTATTGCGGTTCGCGGCATGGCACACGCCCTGTCATAGTTCATTTTCTATAATACGTGAAATACAAGTGAAAAGTCATTTTTAGAGAACTTCTGTGACCCTTCTGCTCTAGGTAAAGAAATTTCTGGGAAAATGTCAAATATGATTTTGGTTTGGCCCCATTTTAAAAAATAAAAAAGAAGTAGATGTTAAAGCGCTTCCACAGAGACATGCATTTTCTTTTAATTCATCGTCCATATGGATGGAGGAAGATATATTTATTTTTGAAGAAACTACAACAAGAAACATTAGTCGTTTGGCTAATCAATTTGAAACAAAATATCAACTGTAATAATGTCAGTTGTCATGGTGGTTTTTGCGAGTCGAAAATATCCTTGATAGTATTGTAACACGACTGTTTAAATTTATCTGTATATTAATGACTATTTTTAAGTTTTGCTCAGACGTTTCCAACATAAATCTCACAAATGGGGCAAGGTGACTCATTTGAAGAGTAAATTTACAATTATACAATTATACTTCCTGTACATAGTGAAGACAACAAAGGCAGGTAAGAGCTTCACAGTTCAATTTATTGTTATGATTTCTTAACAATGTATTATTATTAGGTTACCAAGTCGATTGTTTTAAATTATAGGAAAAAGTTCTCTTCGACGGATGTTTTTTCTTACTCCCATTTTTTTCACTTATGTTTCAGGATTTGCTATTCCTATCGAGGATGAATTTGTAAATTACGGAGGTGAATCAAAGACCCTTAAAGATATCAAAATTCAGCAGCAGCATAACTGGAAGAAGATGCCCCTCCGAAGAACGTCCAGAAACCATTTGTGAAAGGAAGAAGGACGTGTATAATTTGAAAGAAAGACTTCCGAAATCATAGCATGATTGCGAACTGACTTTTCGCAGTAAAAGAGATTGGTTATATTGTTTTGATGAGATCGGGAGAGGAAAATTGCTCGAAAAATTTGTAAAAGGACTGCAATACGTGCCCTCGTCCAACGTCGGAGTTTGATCCTTCCGATAATAGAAAATTATTAAAATAGACGAACTTTTGGAAGCTTTTGAGTGTTTCGGATTAAGTTGCGAACTGTTGATGTGTGAATGTGTTTACTTTAATTTGTCCGTGACTTAAATTGGCTAAAAATAATGAATGAAACAATATCCAAACAATAAAGTTGAATTTCTAATTTTAGTTATGTGTCTTTTTTTATCTCTAAGATTATCATTTCACTTTTAAGGAAGCAACTAAACTTCCAATTAAAACTTGTCTAGATACATATTTAAAGAAAAGAGATACTGAGAGATTCTGCAAGGAAGCATATACAATCTAACAGTGAAGACGGAGTCTACCATACATGATTGCAAAACATTTGTTAAAAAATAATAAAAAAATTAAATTGGGGGAAGAAACTTACAAAATTAGGATGTGGACGTAGGAAATTGTAAACGCTATTCAAGCAAAGGTAAATTTCCCTGATTCCCTGAAAACAACCGAACATGTTAATTGTCGAGTAAAAATGGCACTGACATGTTAGCAGGTAGTCACTTATCATTTCATGAAAGCTTGTACATCCGACTGATTTTGATTGTATGATATTTGGAAAAAATGAAAGGAATTGCAAATGCTGCGATCAAAGCTGCACATATACTTACACACGTGTTCTCAAACAATTGCAAAATTGGAGGCAAAACATCTTATAAAAAAATTAAATTAATTTTTCTCGAGTGTATCAGTATAAAAACATCAAATTTAAAAGAAAAACTCCCCCACTTATTAAATATTGCTAAAACTTTGGATGTGTATAATTGTATTGTAACGCCATCCAAGTATAAAGAAAAGTATCCTTGCTGACTGAAGGCGTTTTTATAAATCGTCTTCTTGATCGTTCAATTTTTACAAGTGAGCTGCTCTTGTTCCTGAAATATTCAGTTTAATCTTGGTGATAGGGACTTTTTTTTTTTTTTTTGGGGGGGGGGGAGGCAAGTCACTACTTGACAGTAGTGATGTCAGCATGATGCCTAATTTATCGAGCTTTGAGCACCGTAAAATATTTTACAATTGTAAAAGTGTGACATTTTCACTCATTTTTGCAGAAAGCAACCGATAAGCTATTACCTCAGGATTGGTTGCTTGATTTCCTGGCAAAGGGCCTCGGCGAGAGTTGACAAGGAAAATATCATCAAATTATTCGTTCATCGTCATTTCATTAATGGAGCGGAAGCGGATGTATACTTCAAGTTTAATTTAAGACTCTTACAAGAGTAATAATCTGATACAAAATCGTCCTAAGGCTGTGATTTGAGTTCTAATGGAGGTTCAATTCAATTTAGTGAAGTAAAATAGACGGAATAATTTTTTAGAGAGTCTGCGTAAAAATTAACATTTTTCGATGATTTTAGCATCTAATTTCGATTTTACGATTTTATCATTCATATGCTTCAATTCATCTTAAGAATTTGATTTGAACTTCGAAGTATAACAAACCTGAATGGGCACAATGAAGAAAATACCATACTTAGAATCGCTGTATCATAGTTATCACTTTATTTTCTTTGATTTTTTCTCTTTTCATTGTCATTTAAGTATCATTTACAATTTCGAAAATGTTTACAATATGAGAATCATTTCAATATAACGCTAACAACTGTTCAACAGATTTAAATACATACAAGGCTACTTGTAAAAAAAAATGCTACTCTACTGAATAAGTCAATTTTAGAAAAAAAAAGGATATCAAGATGGACTGGAATTGAATAACAAAAAGACTACCAGCTCTGCTGGTTTAAAAACAATTTCTGTATAATGGAACACGGGTACGCGATTATTACGTCATGGCTATGTATTTTGGGATTATACAACACGCAATTTTGAGTTAAGTTTCACATTCTAAACGAGTAACTATACAAAATGCGATAGTGGGTTTTTGGGAAACCAGCGCACCTCCAGAAATTACCGCATAGCAGCTACATATTCCCAGCCCAATAGTTTTACAAAAATTTGAAAAAGTCAAGCAGGTTATCAATCTCCTCAGAATAAGAATCATTATTCTTCTTCATTTTTACGTACAATCGAGAGAAAGGTGGGCGTCGGGTAACATTTTGAGCCTCTCTAAAGGTACTGAAAGACACGCCAATTTTGAAAACGGTAAAAAAGTAATAAGATAAAAAAACAAAAACAAAAAACAAGTGAATAAATAATAAAAACTGATTATATTATGTACAAAATCGTTTTAATCGGATGTAACTGCACTGGCTAGTCATGTAGTACCATGCCATGCATATGTGAAAAATTTTAATTTTGTCCAATGGGAAGCGAAGGCTCCTGCGTCAGAGATTTATGAAATGAAAACTCTTTTCTTCAAAAAGAATGATTCTGTCCACTACTTCAATAGATATATCACGGTCAATTTATGCATTATTTTATTCTCAACGTACAAGACATAGAAGTGAATGGATGGTGCTTGGACTTAGACTATAAAAATCATGAAATGAGGCTTAAATACAAGATCGTATTAGAAATATTTAAACGGATCAAAAAAAAAAAAAAAAAAAAAAACTGAGAGCAACTGACAGTTGTGTTACTTTCAATATGAAAACGCCGAGCTCAATATCGACTTATGTACAAATTTAAAAACTGAAATTATTGTCTTTCATTCATATAAAAATTGGTGAGTCAGTGAAGAACACGAGTAAAAAATGCTAAATTTGTAGAAGATGTGCGCATCTAGAGATTTCAACATTAGCTGTTGAATGAACCCTGTTTAATTTGTAAAGTTTTCCATTGATAGGCGATATTAATATATTTGAATGTTACAACAGCTTGAAAAATGTTTCAGCTTGAGCAAGTGTCTCGCTAGATTTAGTGTCGAAAGGACAGTGGAAAAATAGTGATTTGCACTTAACTTACACTTACAATAATGAAATACAATTTAAGTTATGATACGTGTGCGGAACTTCTAAGGAATGAAGTCATTTATTGCTAGAGATAGTTCTCTGATGGTTTACATTAAAATGAAACTTGACAAGTAAGTACTTTGACTGGGCTTCTCATAGGAATAAAGTAATTGATCTAAGTAGAAATGCAAACGTTCTTCGTAACATAAAGACTGTATACACAAATACTTTAAAAAATCAACTGCATTGAATAAAACTCGATTCCCCACCATTGATGTTGTGACCCATTATTTAGCCTCTCCCGGTAGCTCCGATTTTTTAAAGTTTGCCATTAAAGTAGGGATTAAACGTCCATTAATAGGGGTTCTCTTCATAAAAGCACCTTTTTAACAACTCATAAAGTTGGCAAATGGATATAATTTTTAAGAGTGGGAAGGCCTCTCTGAAAATGTCGATATAAATGAGTAGGTATGAAAAGCGGGGAGCAGTCATGGCCATTTTCTTTCTTTTCATCATGAAGCTATAGGGCCGTTCATAAAATTGGCAACGCTGAAAATCAGATTTTTACTTTCTCGCTCCCATAGGGTAGAGAGGAAGTATTGTTTTTTTTTTTACTTCCCCCTCTAACTCGGAATGCACGCGGTAAACAGGTGTTTTCCCTTAAAAGAATTATGTGACGCTTTTGTATGAAGGTTGTCCCCTTCAAATTAGCGTTTGGTGATGAATTTTGGATGACAAATTTTCACTACGCGTCAATTTTTCATCTTAATTAGATCTACGAATAACATCGCATAAATACGAGCGAATCATAGCTTTCTGTAACGCGTCTCTGTAAGACTGCCCTCCTTTATCTAACGCAACTATAACGCAAGCGTAGGTACCCCTCTCTCTCCTCTCGCCCCCCAGAGCGTTATTCATATTTGGCGGAGGGCCACTATACAAGCTGAAATAATTAAATGTGATAAATCCAGAGCAACAGTTTAGCTAGCTAGCTATTTTCTCCACATTCACTTGTTGGAATAATTAAACATATCTAGAAAATCATGTTTTGATTGGTTAAAATAAGACTTCTCAGATCCCAAACGAGTTCTGTAGAAGTAACTCAATCATAAATCCCAAATATATATTTCCTAAAACCAGGAGACAGATATTTCACATGAGCTCGATCAAAAAACAACACACAATTTTGTCCTGCAGGCCGATTATTGACATTTTGTGTTTGTCGGGTGGACACATATGACTTGGCTTTTTCGCAGTAGGATCGGTCGGCTATGTCTTGTCACTGCTTCGTCGTACCTATGTCAGACAGAATTGACGACAGGGTGAAGGCACCTCTTGATTTCTCAATGGCATGATGTCGATTCAACCAGACATAGGCAGGACAAGCGATAAGATATAGCCGACCAATCACGCTGCGCCATGTAAGCTACCCATGTCATCTACGCCCGACAAAAACAAAATTCCAATAATCGGCTTGCTAGGTTCGTGGAAATGCCTCCCATGTTCAATGCTGCATCAATCTAACGAGAGGGTTCGATGTTCGTTTTGACAGTGTTGGCTCTTGGAGGAAGGCAACTTTACATGGACTCCATCTGCTCGGTGAGCTCAAGGATAGGGCTTTCGCTGACTGGCTGCATGGGGGGTGTCACACTGGGGCTCCAAGAGTGTGCATGCGTAGACGGTTTGTATCCACTGAGCCCCAAGTTTCCACCCGATTGCTGGAAACAAAAATATATCGATGAGGCTAGAGACAAAGTGCATTTGACTAGAGCATGCCAATCAATTCATTCTTCTTTTTCGGAAAATATTGAATCTTTTTCAGTAATACAAGTTTGTTTTTAATTTCTCGAGAGAAGACACCCTCTGCGTTCCTTTCGAGGAGGAACCCAATCTACATATCGATGGTGAAACTACCAAACCACGTATCTCGTTTGCGGTGTCTAAAAATCTCCGCTCTCATTTTATTTTTCTGGAGGAGAACAATTCAATATTATTCCTTGAAGTTTTTACCGAATTTTCTTCGCACTGAGAAGAAAAATCACGGAAGTTTTCAAGAATTGACGTTGAGTACTTTCCCATTTAAAAATTAAAGTATGGCAGGAAGTCTGCGACGTCGCAAACCGAGATACGTGGTTTGGTAGTTTCACCGTCGATATGACCCTCATCGGTGACCTATCTCGTGTCATTCTTGAAATATGAGCTTACCATATAACGATGGTGAAACTGCAGAATTGCGTACCTCGGTTTGCGGCGCTACAGACTTCCTCTGCCGTGCTGAGGAAAAACGCCGTATGGGCCTTCAGGCGTTGCCAAATTTCCTCTGGCAAATCATGACTCTTCAGGGAAATTTTCAAATATTTTTATGTCAATTTCTCAGATGATTTTGTTTGTAGTTTGATCTAAAGTGCCTGAAGATTTCAATGAAAAATATTCATAATTTTCCTCAAAAAGAAAAATTTTATCAAAGGAACTTTGGCGCCTCCTGAATGTTCATATGGCATTCTTCTTTCGCATGGCAGTCCTTTCTTACTTTATTCTCCACATGGAACACTGCCGAACGTCTTTTTTTGAAAATCTCGGTGATTTTTCTTCTCTTTATGAAAAAAATTCAGTGAAAACTTCAAGCCGTGATGTTGCTTCGGTCTCCTCTTAAAAAATAAATTAGTAGCGGAAATCTTGAAATACCGCAACCGAAATACGTGTTTTTGCAGCTTCACCGTCGATAAGTCGTTCCGTCATGCCATCCACGATAGCCTGTTTGGTATCCATCATCTCCCCCATACTATGTTTATTCTTTCCTTAATAACCACCTTCAGAAAATGAAAGTCTGAAAACCCCTCCTTCACTTCACTCAGAAAACCCGTTCTGAACCCATCCTGACTCCCAGGGGAAATAGTTACGATTTGTTTTCTTACACGAGAGCCATTAAGTTAATACAGTAAATACGAAAAATATATCATACAAAGTTTTAAAAGAAATGAAATAACACAATAATATGTTCAACAGCATACAGACTTGCAATTACACTAATCAAGCGCTTTCTTGAGGAAACAAACTAATTTTAAGTTAGTCAAACTCTGGAACTCACGAACAATGTTGGGCATGATGAGCTACAGGTGTAAATGCACTCAATTAACACACAAATTTACCTCTCAAAAGTATATTAATTTTAAAAAATGTAAAGTAATTTTTACGTCTGCAAATCATGTATATTTCATGGACTTGTTACTTTACTTACCTCAGAATATCTGTTGGCACCGTCAAAAAGGAATAACGGGATTCGTATTACACAATTGTTTCGTTTGATCGTAATATTCAAAGCCTAAAATCTCTGCATGTTCTTAATTTCCCCCTGTAGTATCTCTTTAACACGTATTTTACCTATTTTCTTGTGACGTTTTAAGAATGAGGTTCCATGATCGAAACGTGATCAGGTTTAGATATAATTATGTACGTATCCTTTCCCTATTCAGCAGAATTCATCCCACACAAAAACAGGTAAGTTGTTAAACAACATTTTCAAATGAGTTTCATTCGTTGAAAAAATCGATCGGCTGTTATATAGTCGGTTGTTGTCTACCTGGCGGCTATCTAAAACGATCAGTAGATGGCAAACATTTTTTTTCTTCTTCTCTTTTTTTTTGAGCATAGATCATTATCGATGCTGATTTTAATTATTAAATTGTTTATTCAAATTGGCCACCTAAGATTTTTATGTAATTGTACATTTAGTTTTAGATTTTCTGAATCGGCAACAATTCTTAAGTACAATAATCCTCAAATTTTTAAATTAAATATAAACTCAAATCCTAAAATAAAGAACGATACATCCATCTCACGGTCTCCTTTCACAGATTTCTCGACTAAGTTGCAGAGCAGTAGGACTAGTTGCCTATCTACTAGTTTGAAGGCTTTCAACACAGTGCCGAATAATAAGTGCACTCCTTGACCGAATTTGAGGTCTTATTCTGTCAGTATTTTCCCCCTCTCTTGGCTTTTTTAATGATTTTTTTTAGCGATCTCAGCTGTTACTTGATTTCTACTTAATGTGTACGAACTTTTCTTTTTTTTTTTCTTTTCCATAATTTGAAAACTTGTTCACAAGCGGTCGTTTGGTTATGGAGCCGCGTAGCGCCACTTTGATTTGAAGCATCTTGGCCTCTTTTTTTTTTTTTTTTTTTTTTTTTTTTTTTTTTTTTTTTTTTTTTTGCTTGCTTGTTTTTTCTATTCATGTATTATATCTTGTGCTTTATTATACTTTAAGTTCAGATTTTAATTTTTGAATCAATTAATTTATGAATACAATTTTTCGACCCTTTGCTTATCGAGTTGTTTCTCAACGTTACTTAATTGTATTTCTTGTTGAAGACTAGACTACTATCGCTTTTTTTTAAACGCATAATTTTGATAGTTGTGATTGGTTTGGTGAGAATTTTTTTCTTAGAGAATATTGAATGCCATAATATTGCGTATAATGATACGGTTTCACTTTACCACAATTGAAAATACAATTGAGTCCATTCCTTGCGACTGGTTGAATTTCTTTTTTATCGATCATCTGAACCTTTGAGATCTAACTGCTTCTATCTTCTTCATTTTTGTTTCGTTTTTGAATTCAAAAAGAATCAAACAGCTTAGAGCTTGATTCACAATCCACATGCGCAAACGTTTTTCTTCGTCGTATCTCATTTGATCGACTCTCTGCAGAATATTATCATGATCACTGTTCGTTTGCTGTATTATACTAAAAAGATTTAGGATGTTTGGGTGAACATGAGATGTTTTATTTTTGAGGAGTTTCATTCGTACGAAAAGTAAAACGCAGCAATTAAATATAGTCACAACGACTTCATAACTATTTATTTATTGAACTTTTGATTGCATTTCCTTTAGTTGGTGTAAAAAGAAAAATAAGTGTAAAGGGCATTAAATACTACAGTGATTACGAGGTACAAAATAATTGAACTAAGCAAAACAAAAACAACAAATAAAAATAATACTCATTTTGGTATGAAGAAAAGACATGCAAGCATACAGAACGAAAAAGTCAATCAGAGCCACGACGATGATAAATGACACGGATATCTACATACACAACAAATTAAAACGATAAGCTAAGGACAACAATGATATTGAGGTCATGCTTTCAAGGTATGTCAATGTCCAGATATTATTGTCCAAAGAGTGTGCTGATAAAAATCAATGAACTTCTTTTGAAAGATAGATTAACTATGATTAACTTTCTATAAATATCTACATTTAATAAAAAATAAATAAAAATGATTATCACGTCAGTCGCAAATTCTCAGACAGTACACTGCTATAATCGATGTATGTACGATGATGGTTTTCCAAAAAAAAAAAAAAAAAAAAAAAAAAAAAAAAACCGGTGAAGAACTAATTTTATAAACAATTTCATCAACTGTAATGTTCACGCACCATTGAATCGGGTAACGAGAGAAAAATTAAATTAGAGGCTAATTTACCAGCATGATATAAAACAAAATTAACTAGTCAATGGGAAGTATAATTTAGTATGGCTACACGGGGAGTGGGTTTTAAAATCAGACTAAATGGACTGGTTTCATGTAAATCTGTACAGGTCTCTTTATTAGAAAATTAATTTACAGTTATAACAAAAACGACGACATCGATTGAATGTTGAACAGGTCTAAAATTGCAAATGGCTCACTATCGGGCTCAGCATCAAAATTCTAGAGACTTTAACTTCCTTCAAAAACTCTCTTTATTTCGGTGAACGACCTTTAAAATAAACTTTAAATTGCTGAATTTCAACACTGATATATTACCGTGCACTGTGCTACAACACCCATGCTAATAAACAACTACCTAATGGACACATGGATACGGGAGGTATCCTCGTGCCTACATCCAACGGGACAAAACACTAAAACTCTATTTGGGGGCTACCTGGTTCCATGCAAGGACTGACTGAGTCGTGGCGAAGATGGGCTGCTGCCACAGACTGCTGCTGATGAGCAATTCCGTCTCGTTCACCGGGGGTGACGAACTCCACCCGGAGGCAAAGCGAGGGGCCGGGGAGTCAATCTGGCAAGAGGCGAGCGAGTTAGGAAGACTCGACCATAGCTGCTCGTTACAAGAGTCGAGGACGTTCTGGAGCGCGCCCTCGTCGTACGTCAGTTGCTGGTAGGGGGCGCCACGGGACGGGGACTTCAACCCGTTCGTGCAGTCCTCCAGGATGGTCGGGAAGTCCTTGTCGGAGCCGGCCTGGATCGGCGGCACGATCTGGGTCTGCTGAGCGAGTTTATATGAAGCCTGGCGGAGCATCTGTCTTCGGGAGAGGCCAATGGGCGAAGACTGCAGGATGTTCTGCACCGGGTTCTCGATCGAGGACGACTGGAACGCCCCCTGCTTTTGGAGGATCTGCCGTTTCTGCTGGAGCAGGCGGTGCTGGAAAAGCTGCTGGTGTAGCGTGGTTTTCCCCACGTTCGGCTCGATGTCGTTGGCTGGAGGGAAAGGCTGGAAGTTCTCGGGGACCGACTTCTTCGGCGTCGGCAGTGGGGAACGCTCCTGCGCCAAGGAGCACCAAGACGAAGTCAGGTCTTTCTTCTGGCTGTACTCGCTGTGCTGTTTCTGCTTCTGGAGTAGCTCCTCTTGGGTCAGTGACGTTTGATAAAGTGACTTGAGCATCTTGTGTTCCTTCTGGACCAAGTTCAGTTCCATGACGCCTTTGGTCTTCCCGGACTCGTTGAGCTTCTGGCTGTTGAAGGCGACCACCCCGCCGAAAGTCTGTCTCGAGGAGGTGTCGTCGCCCTGCTGCGCGACCAGCCCGTCGGAGGCGCGTCGCCCCTCCCTGAAGTCCACCGGCGACCGCATCAAACTCCGAGACTTGAAGTTGGTCCCGTGGGTCTGGTACAGCGACGGGGCGTGCCGCCTGTAGCTCGTCACGCACAGGTTCGGGTGGATGGCAGACGTGGAGATGACGATGTTGTCCGAGATGGTTTTCGACATCCCGGTCGTGCAGGACGGCAAACTACAGGTCAGAACCGGGTGATAGTAATCTAGACTAGTGTTGTCAACCGTCGTTGAAAAGGAGCTCGAGCAGCAGGATAACGAATCGTCGGAGCTCAGATGTTGCGAGAGACTCTTCTGAGGTTGTTGCATGCCGGTGTAGAGTCCGCTGCTCGACGAGGACGACGCGTAGGAGAACCTTTGATTGGCGGAAACCGGCGACTCTTCCATGTCAGTCTCGACCCCTTCGTCGGTCGAGGAAGAGTACTGCTGCGTCACCGTCTCTGGCTTCGAGTACGGGTGACTCCCGCTCATTTCGTAGCGGTAGTTGGCGACCCCGGCGAATTTGGGCGCCGTGTAGGAACTGTCGTAGAGTCCGAGGATCTCGTTCGTGATGTCGGTGCCATCGAGGCTATTAGCCGGGAGGGGCTCCCGGAACGGGGGATGCTGATTGGTTAGCCGCGGGTAGGCCTCCTCCGGCCGAAACTCGTGGGTGGCCGGTAGTAGCTCCGGCGGGTTGCCTAGCCGCAAGGGGTCCACGCTGGTGATGACTCGGGAGTTGGCGCTCATGTCGACCAACTCGGACGTGGCCGGGAAGCGCATGGTCGAGTCGTGCGATAGGAGCCGGGTGTTGAGGTCCAGGATGTCCTGCGGCTTGGAGTCCAGGAGTCGAGTGTCCTGGGGGAAGAGGATGCTCTTGGGCTCCTCCTGGGGCGGAAGGCGGATGGAGGACTCGAGGAAGGACTTCCGGGACTCGGCCGTGAGGAGCCCGGTGGAAGGGAGGCCTGTGAGGTTGAGCTTGCGCATGGCCTGCTCGGCGATGGTGCTCGGGCGGCGCTTGGCGGTCTGGAAGTCGGCCAGCTGGTGTTTCGGCGTGGCTGGAGCCATCGGACTCGGCGCCGTCGGCTCCTGAGGTAGGGTTCGTTGTTGGCAGCGGAGCTTCTCTAACAGCAGGAAATAGATCGCGCAGTGGTGGTCGTAGCTGCCTTTGCGCAGGGCCTGAAACACGAAGAGAAAATTGTAGATTAATGAAGAGATAGTGAACAATTACTGGAAGGTATACCCTGTCACAAAGAGCATACGGCAATGACCAACTCCAAAAATCTTCCTTAAATCTGATTATATGGAAATAGTCGCATTCATTGGTGATCCTCAGACGCTGAGTTCTCCTATTTCATACGGTCTGTGGAGGCTTTGACATTTGAGGAGCTGTTTTTAACACAGTGTGGTCCTGTTAACAAGATGACGGAAGAGGGGCTGCCGAAGAAGATACTTGGTTGAGTTTTTCCTCGGCGGAAACGAAGGGGACGCCCAGTGAAAGGGTGGCGACAAGGGGTTTTGGACGAAAAGAGGGAAGTGCCAACTCCCTGAAGGGCTTTGGAAGGATAGGGTGCTTTGGCGGCTGAGTGTGGCAGAGCGCCGAAGAGTGCCATGAAAGCGGTTTACATGTATGTATGTTTTTATCGCGGCTCCATGAAAACTTCTGCGCCTCAAAAAAGTATGAATCAGAACTCCTATGAGCAATGTGGTGGGCTACCAATAAACGATAGGGGGATCAATACTTTCAATAAAAAGTGACTTGTATTCCAAAAAGGATTTTTGACCGGTGCTCTCCAGGGCCCCACCACTAGTTGGGACCGGCCTATCATCCTCGGCTAATATGGCACTCTATTTCATTTGGGTGTGAGAAATGAGTTCTAAAGAAAACCGAGACGCAATGCCTCAAGATCACCCCCGCTTTTAAATGGATGACGTCAATCTATAACAGTTTACGTTTCTTCATAAAGATCAAGTTATTCCCGGCCTATCTTTGATAATTATACCCAAGCATTATGCGGCATTATCAAGGATAATTTCTAGGATTTGAACACTCTAGCTTTAAATCCCACCGGAACATGCCTATGACCTTCTTTTGAATTTGTGTCCCAAGAGAGGCATAAACGGCACACGCTTTGTTTGAGTAATCCCCTATGAAAGGGATTCAACCCTCTCTGAAAGTCGCAGCAATCTTGACAGAGCGCGGAACCACATTTGCCTACAATTCCTCCTTCACCTTCCACGCTTAATCTCGTACCCAAACATTCCTTCCCGAGTTCAAAATAACAATTACCGCACCGACTTCTTTATTTGCCAAGCGTGTGGCGCGGAAGGCCGCAGGGATTTGCCAAATAACGGCGACCGCTCGCACGGAAGACCCTAAGATCGCAGAGCTCGGCGGAATATTCGGCAGCGCCGCTTGGAAGTTTTTCCGGATTCCACGCTCCATTATAAATCCGTATGTTTACGCCGACCATAGTCATTATCATGTGCGAATGTCGGAGCGGGATATTTTCGACCCGCGGCGCGGCGCGGCGCGGCGGAACAGCTGAGCAAATGCGGGTGAGCCGGGTGCCAGATCGGGAGATTCCCCATTGTTCGCCCGTGAGTCGATAGAAAGTGGGTGAATTTCGGATTGCGATCGGCCAACGAGCACGGTGAGTCATCGGCTGTGGAATTTCGATCCCGCGATTGTTTCCGACGCACAACTGGAAGCGCTCGGCAAAACCGTCAAAAACAGGAGTAAAACATCAACAACATGCGAAACTTTCCGCGTGTGACCGTATGGCTTACTCAAAATTTAAATATTGATATTACCAAAATAAATTGACTGCCGAAACGAACACTGGAAAAAAAAACACATTGTATCTAGAGTCCAGACTCTAAAAAACATCGACAAGAAAAAGTACTCTTGATTCAATCAGAATCTAGCTTAAATCAAGAACGAAGCCTCTTGATTTACTTAAGCGGATTTCGTTTTGATTCAAGCAAAAATCCGATTAAATCAAGAGTATTTTTTCTTGTCGATGTTTTCAAGAGTCTGGACTCTAAATCCAATGTGTTTTTTTCCAGTGAATGGCTGTGCAGAGGGGGAATCCTTTAGTGAAGATCGGGATTCTTTCCGTAGTAAAAGTGAATCAGCCTGATTTCAGGCTATGTTTAACCTTGACTACCCTGAGTCAACCACCCCTGACCATCCTGAGTCAGACTGATTCAGGCTGACATCAGCCTGAATCAGTCTGACTCAGGGTAGTTTATGAAACATAGCCTGACGTCAGGCTGACTCACTTTCACTAGGGTTATTGATCAGGTACAGATTCTGTCACTTTAGATAAACTGATTATTCACAAGTTGATGATCATAGGTTTTTCTGTGTAATTCGATCATGGTTCCTTCACCTGCATTGATGCCAAGAGAAGAAATGCATGAGAACAAAGCTTGTACTTAACTTAATAGAGATTTATTTTCTATAAAATTGAGAAATTGATCAATTGTGTAGCTTTCGATTGAAACAGTTAGAAGGGAAAGCTAATTAAAAAAATGAATGAATATCAAGAAAACAGGAGGTCATAAAAATGCGCTTGAGACCAGAGTACTTATGGTCGATCGGGAGTCGCTTATTCGCGGATACCTAATATGCACCTGCTACATTTTAAAATGGCGTAGAAAATGTACCCAAAATTTCCAAGTTAACGATTCATTTGAAGTGCAATAAACTCTTACAAGCTGATTTAGGGGAAAAATTATTCTCGGACAACGGACAACTTTAAACCTATGTGTAATTATTTAGTTACCCAAAATACTGATAAAATTTACTAAAGATCAAAAATATTCAATACGGGCAACAAGTTATAAAAATTTACTGTCTCTAGAGGGTCATTTGAAAATCTTAGCAGGGTCGATTTAATGGCTCCTGTCAAGTCTAAAACAAAAAACAGCTGAAAAGGGAAATCTGCTATGTGGAAATAAAATTTTAAAAAACGCAAAATCTAATTTATCTATTTATTGATCGGATAACGCTAACGTCCGGTGATCCGGCAACGTCACAAAGGTGACGCAATATCGATCGGCTCATCGCGGTCTGGATTCCGAGCCGTGATGACGTCACTCACACTCGTGGGGCCGATGCCCCGCGAAAAATACCTGTTCCGATCCCCATGTTTGCTGATCGCCCGGCCATTAGCCTGTCACGCCGAGAAATGACGCTTCATTATCCTCACTGTGAACCCTCATACCCCTAAAATTATTCAACTAAGCTATCCTGAACAGTTTGTCGGTTTTTTCGGTTTTTTTCGACCAAAATTCACCTACTTTTCAGAGTTTTTCCTCGCGGATTAACTATTTTCTCTGAGACAATAAAATAAATAAAAAACAGCGATACTCCTCAAACCATCGTTCCTCCAGTCCCAGAAAATAGTTAGCTTGCGGAGAACAATATATGATGACTTCAGCCATTAAAGTTGGACTCAATCAAACATTGTAACAACGAATTTTGGCCCGCTCTGATTTTTACGACCTTTTTTGGAACTCAGGAAATGAAATAAGTATTTTGTATTCAGAGAATAATATACAGAGGTTTTTTTTTTTACTTTATGACGTCATGTATAAGGCAATAAATAATCTTCAGACTAGGGGTTACACTACGCAAGAACGCCCATATTAACATTCGAGCGTTCCCAAATTTCCTCCAATAGCATGGTTTTTTTTTTTTTTTTTTGAAGGACAGTTATGAACATTTGTCCTTGAAATTTTCAGGAACTTTAGGTAAATTTGCAAACAACATTATCTAAAAAATTGGAAGAAAAATATTCATAAGTTTACCAGGAAATTCGTGTTTTATAAGTGAAAATTTGGCAACGCCTGAAAGTTCATATTACGTTTTTACTTAGCACAACAGCACAGGCTCCACAGGGGGGGGGGGGACGAGCTCTCAACTCGCAGTCTTAGGCTGCACGCTGGAAAACCTGAAACGCCTTCATTTCTTACTGTATGCAGCACGGACATCCATGAAGCGCGAATAGTTGTATCAAGGTGCCTGACAACTCATCAATACCATATCGCGTGCGAATCGCTAATTAACTGAATTGACTAAATCGGTTAATGGGCGGTGATATTTTTGCTCTTTCCTTCCTTTCCCCCTCTATCGTGCAGTTTTACTTTCGCCTCTTTCATTCCTACATTGAAAATACTATACCAAAAAGGATAAAAATTCCTCGAGTACAGGTTTTTTTTTCCAAAAATACAGAGATGTTTTCCAAGCTCGGGTTGAAATTAATGTACTGGATCCTACTAATTATGTCTCCAATTAATTTTTATAATACTATTTCACAAAAAGCTCTAACTCCCTATTGCTTATATTTAGCAACAATCAGAACTATTGAATGACTAATCAACTTCATAATAATGATGTGGACCTAATACGACTTTCTTCCGACAGGTTTACAGATTAAGAATGCGTTTTTCTAGAGCTTCGTTGCCACGGTGACTTAAGGTTAGAGCTTAATAAGCTTTAACACTCCTTAATAGAAATTAATTTTTAGATTTTGTTGGTATTCCCACTTTACCGCACTACAATTCTGTGTGTTGCAAAAATCCATTTCCATTCCACTTTTATCAAAGTTGTATACTTGATGAAAAAAATTGTTGGGTTCTTCTAGGCTCATCCTGAATTTTTGAAAGAGTCAAATCTTATTGAGTCTCGTGAGTGTACTCGCGTGCTGACCTATTCCCTAGCGTGAAAAAGAATTGATTGCCGTATTCATGGGCATTGGATCCTCATTTTTGAAGTTTCACTGAATGGGATGTTTATCACAGCGGAATAGACGAGCAGCCTCGATGATGCTGGAGAAAATGAGGTATTGAATAGGAAACTTTTGGCCAAGCCTTGACACAGTGCTGCAAATTCGCACACAGTTGACTTGGTTTTCATAATGTTGAGTTAGTGAAGGAGTGAAACATACTTAACAGCTAATAAATATTAGAAGTTCTCAAAAAAATTAATCAATGCATTTTCCAGCACAGTTATGATTCTTTGGGTCATCAAGTATGAGGATGAAAAAGTTTAGGGAGAGAGTGAAGACGGACAGAAAATGTATAGCACTTCCAGGAGACTTTTAAATCCCTTTGACGGAATATATGCATTTTCGGAAAGTTTCATTGAAACAATCAAACAATTTTAAAGCACCATGCGGCCAAATGTTTTGAAAAGCATCTGGTCAAGATTTACTGATCTTTTGATTCCTACCATTTTTGGTGTAATTTGATCATTTCATTCACCATCCTGCATTGGTAGAAAAAGGTTTATGATCTTCGGAAAGAGATAGTATGTATAGATTCCACAAAATATGTTGTCACGACGCTATTTTCCTGTTTTTGCGAATATCGGTGAAAGTTTTCAGTGGATGATTCAGTGATGTTAAAATAGTAGAAATTCGGAGTCAGGGCTTACCTCTCTAGTGCGAATGACGTCTATGCCGAGGCTTTTCATCAGTCTTAAGATTTGCTCGTTGGGCTCAGTTTTTGAGTCGGTGCCGGCACTCGGAAGAAGTCGCGGCGCCTCCTCCATCATCCATCGATGCCTCTTGATCTGCTCGATCGAGAACCGCTTCGACGGATCTAGCACCAACATCTTCCGGATCAGAGACTCACAATCTGAAACAGAAAAATCCACAGTCTTAATCTATTGTCTTACCTAGTCAACATAGCAAGAAATAAGGCCAGGGAATGAGGCCAGTGGAGGGTTTCTTGTCTCTGGCTGTGACGGTGTGACAAACTTAAAAAGTTCGGATCAGAATAGTTGCGAAAAATCAAAAGCTCCGCTTTTTCCAGTTCTCAATCTGCTAAATTGCATTTCATTTGCGAGTATATTTGACGTTTGAATTATGTTGGGCACGGTGTAGTTCGTTAAAAATCCGAAGGTCTCGTAAGATATTAATGAGGTTAAGCGCGAGGGCCGACCCTTTTCAAGAATGAATCCGCGGGCTGTTTTTATGAATGAAACGAATTTACGCACGCAGGCTCATGTTGTCAATGCATTAGTTATCCTCTAAATTTATCAATAGAGATCCGAGTGTAAAAGTGGATTTTCATCTGAGATCTGGCATTATTGATTCGACTCGCTTGCGATACGTCACGGCCATTCACGGACCGCAGTTAATTGAGATTTGGCAAGAGGTGCGTCCGCACCTCTGAGCACAACAATCGATGGCAGGAGCTGGATGACCCTCCACCCCAGGTGCAAATTGTTAACGCTTAAAAACGCAAAAGATTAAAAAAAAAGAAACCGGTAACTTTGGGGTTCACTGGAAAAAAACCCACATTGGATCTAGAGTCCAGACTCTTAAAAACATGGACAAGAAAAAATACTCTTGATTCAATCAGATTTAAGCTTAAATCAAGAACCAAGTCTCTTAATTTGAGCGGATTTCCTTTAGATTTAAGCTTAAATCCGATTGAATCAAGAGTCCTTTTCCTTGTCAATGTTTTCAAGAGTCTGGACTGTAGATCCAATGTGTTTTTTTTCCAGTGTTAGGTACTTTATGATAACCTCCAGTGACCCAACTTGTTGATATTGGCACGAGAAATCATTTCGGAGCCCTGCAATCAGGTATAAAAAAATGACTCATTGGCGAAATGAACATCGCTAATGATCACTCCTAACCCCCACCCTGAAGCAATCGGGGAGACATCGTGGCATCGTTTGACATCCGAGACAAACGGAAGCCACCACTCATTAAAAGCTCTCATTACTTGGATCCGCGGTGCCTCGGACGTAAGAAATCCCACTGTTTACCCTCTCGATGACGTCTGCACTCGCTAGCTGTCAATACTGTCACCGTATCTGCCACATGGTCGTAATAAAATGTTTGGCGCCTTGGCGTCGAATCGCCACTGAGAGGGCTTTAATACGAAAGTGAAAGGACTTTTTTTCTTCAAAGGACGCTTGCTTTGAAAAATAAATACACAAAATAATTCAAAAGTCTTAAGTCCTTAGAAAAAAAACACATTGGATCTAGAGTCCAAACTCTTAAAAACATCGACAAGAAAAAGTACTCTCGATTCAATTAGATTTAAGCTTAAATCAAGAACCAAGCCTCTTAATTTGAGCGGATTTCCTTTTGATTTAAGCTTAAATCTGATGGAATCAAGAGTCCATTTTCTTGTCAATGTTTTCAAGAGTCTGAACTCTAGAGCCAATGTGTTTTTTTCCCCAGTGCATTTTACGGAGGCTAAGGCTTGAATACTAAAATGTAAGAACTTTTTTTTTCCCCCCTTTTGGAAGGGGCGCTTAGCTTGAAAAAAGAATACACAAAATAATTCAAAAGTCCTCTAACATTACATTTTACGGAGAAAGGTATACATAAATGAAGTTTTGTTAACTTTCACAGTACATTAAGCAAACTTGCTTATTTAACTGGTAAAAGGACCCTCTTCGTTCTTTTGTGTTTTGTCACTTTATTAAATGTGATTCAAATACGTTTTCGCCCCTGATTAATGATTGCGCACTTAAACCAGACAATAATTATCATTTCCGACCATCATCAAGTCAAAATTGTATACGTGATCGTGAAACGTAAACTTGGGGGGCCGTCCGACGGATTTTTCTACTATCCCTTAAAATATCAAAAGAAAACGCTTCCGGGAAAATCCAATTCTCTTCGAAACACTGCATCGCGTATTGTCGCCGATATTTGCATTAATTAAGCATGAGAATGTACCATTTGTCACAGCTCCAACAGTTTGTATGCTTCTGCTCTTTAATTAGTTCTATTTTAAATACGACCATTATTTCATTCGAAAAATACACGCGAATTGTGCAGCACAGATAAGCTTATAGCCTTCCGGGTTGTTGCAGTTTTATCAACGCTTTATCGATACGTTTTCAAAAAGTTACTTATGAGAGAAGGGGTTTTATAGAGGATGACATGCAGCGCTATTCACGAGATAAGGCGGTTAGAATTTAAATATTCGCCTCTATTTGTCAACGATGGATATTGCAGGTGGGCGACTGAGCTTTAAACGTTACGTGAAAGTAACACCCCTTCTCTCGCCCCTTCCCCTTTTAATGCCACCCATCCCATGCCCTCGCCAATCTCCCCATGCCTCTCAAGGAAGATGTGCACGTATGTGCCGGAACGGATACAGCTGAAATTAATTTGATAACGATCGAGGCTGGCCTTCGTCAAAGACCAATATTTGAACAGACGGACAAAATAGCAACTAAAATAGAAGCCCCGTCGGCGAGGGTAGGGGATGGGGCGGAGATTAGTTATAGCCAAAGATTCTGAGCTTTCGTGTTGTGTTTTCTTTTCTTTTTTCGCACCGCGTATTGACGTACCTGTGTTTGCGTCAAACCACCAAAATAAATCCTTTTGTTCCAGTTCTTAATTGGCGTTGATGAGTGCCTGGTTGCCTCCGTCAAGAGGCAACTTTCTAGCCCAGAGACACATTTTCGCCTAATAGGTATCAATACGGCGCAGAAGTCTATTTCTGAGGCGCAAACAACATTAAAGGTGGATTAGTTAAAAGAAACTCAATTTTTCATAGTCTCAGCGAGGGCTATGTATCAAAATCGTGAGCCTCAGCATATTTATTTAATTGATAATTGATCCATCCTCCTTGCTCGTGGTGTAATTTATTAACTCATGTCGGAATCACGAACGCCTCTCCCGTAATTATACCCTGGGCAGGTCTCAATAGAGCAGTATTGAAACTCAATTAAATCTTGAGGTTAACATGCACGAGTGTTTCGCAAAATTGCGAGTCATTTAGTTTTACATGAATCACATCTTTTAAGTAAAGTTGATAATTCGCAAAACCAGTAGCATTTAATTTGTCGCTTCTCAGGCGAAAGAGCGTCACTATATTTCAACGCTTTGCGATTTCCACTTTCAAATTGCACTTGACAAGGTTACTGCCGGACGTTTCGAACTGCAAATTTCACCGATCGTTCTTCTAATATTCCTAAAAACCAGCAAAATTTTGGCCGAAAACTGCATAGTCATATTCTGATTAAAAAAAAATTGGGTTCGGGTAAATTCGCAATCTTGGAATGTAGTTAAATCATCGCGTCTGAGGAACACTAAATTAAACATTTACCTGTCTAGGGCACCCCCAAAAAGGAAGAAATACCTATATAAGCGTGAAGAGACTTCTACATATATAAATAAATACATTAAAGCCGCTTTTACAACGCTCTCCGGCGCTCTACGACACCCAGCCGCCAAAGTCCCCTATCCCCCAAAGCCTTTCAGGGATTTGGCGCTCCCTCAATTCCTCTAAAACCCTCTGTCACCACCCTTTCACCGGGCGTTCCCTTCGTCTCCTCCCAGGAGACACCCAATCAAGCATCTTCTCATCTTCTTCGGCAGCGTTAAAGAGACTCAACCTCCACAAATACATAACTATGTTTTGAATAAAATTTAGAAGTTACCAGATATTGGCAACATTGTACGGTTAGAGGCAAAATAGGGAAACATTGAATCAGTGGAGAAATGGAAGTAAAATGGGAAATACATTCATATAAGAGAAGCCTTTGGGCCTCCTCGGTGCCGCGGATGCAAGGCTGAGCGCTCCGTTTGCAATCACTTCTAATCACCGGGACGGAGCTCCGGCTGCCTGCCCGCCTCGGTCGGTAATGATCTAATTTATGAAAGGTAAAAGCTGGATAGACTAATTAATTAACTTCGAAAATCATCGAACTCGGATCGTACTTCCAGTCGCAAGGTTGCAATATTATCGTTTCCGCCTGCGCCTGCAATTCATCGTAAGTTTAAATTGAGCTACCGGCGGAACTGAAATACGTACCGTCAACAGAGCGTAGTTGCTTAAGAGTACGCGGAAAACTTCCGGTCAATTACACGCCGAACAGCGCCGCCGATAGATCTGGGAAATGATTCTGGCGACTTAAACCAGGTGGAGTAACAAGATATCCTGCTAAGCACACTCCTATTCGTATGTGCAGTTTTAGGACTCTCAATGGGATGGATTAGCAACTGTGATAACGGGACCGATGGACAAGGTCCGAATTTAAGCATTCGGATAAATGTTTCTTTTTCAAAATTTCACTATTAGAACACGCTTCGTGAAACGGAGATGACAGATATTAACTCTTATAACAAAGATGAACATTGAACATGTTCAAGTCGCAGGCAATGGTCAAATCAGGCTTTTGGTTAAACGTCTGGGCAAATAGTTAAATATTCGTACTTAGACTGAAATTCTGATTATTTTGCTAACTGTATACAGGTGACGTAATTATCTGATCATGTGGGAAAGAATTATCAGTAAACATTGCTTCATACAATAATAAAATGTAAGTTTTTTCTAGTCCTTAAATGCAAATTTATCTCTAAATGCTTAAACCATTCACCGTAAAAGTTTCGTGAGAAGCAGCATCTTTTGAAATTATAAACAGAAAAAATAATGAATGAGGGAACACAGAGCGGGTTGCAGAAAAAGTTTGTACGTGCGTAAAAAGCATCGTAAACTCATCGCAAATAAATTTTTCCCAGCATGAAATATCTTTCCGTTTAAATCCAAAAGTTTTGTGATTTATTCCTCGTAATCGCTAAAGCTGTCGTTGATCCTTCAGACTCATTTGTATCCTGTTTCAATGTTTGTCTATGACTATGACTACGACTACTGATTCT